GAGGTTCAGGGTAAATTGGTCAGGGTGAAGGTTTCTATTTCAGTTTCCATGACGACACTCTCAGACATAATTCCTTCAGGGTCATCAAATTGATCCTGTGATTCCCAGCTTGTTGAAACTAAAACGCTATGGCCAGAGTTAAAACATCGATTGCCTTTGGTCGATTTGTCTTCTTAGCTTTGATGACTATGCAGTGCTTTTTCTTGGCATCATTTCTAGCACATTATGAAGATGAAGGTGACTGGTATGCAGTTAGTCTGCTCTTTGTCCCTGCGGCAGTGATGTGGTGGTGGATTAACAGCAGTACTGCAGACCAATCTGAAGTTGTTATTTTCTGGCTGGTGTACAGTTGGCTTGGGGCAGTTCCTTTGATTGGCATCGTTTTTGGTCGACTTGACGACAAAATTGAAAGCGAAGGATTTTGGAATGCGAGTACTTTGAAACTGACACTTTGCATAACTCCGCTGCTTCTCCTCCTGTTATGTCACACAAGAATAGCAACTAAGAGCCATGACGTTCGTTTCAGTGAGTGGTCTGCCAAAGCCTTGATCAATTTGTTCGATGGAATCGAGCTGATAGCGGTAATTTTAGACGAAAACGAGTGCAGCCACGGAATTTCCAGGCATTTTAAGAATACGCTCATTGCTTTTACCTGTATGAGCTTACTGTGGAGTCCAGTTGATATAAGTGTGGCATTACAACCCGAGGCCGCCGCTGGAAGTGATTACGAAGTCCTTTCTTTACTCAGTTATTTCATTCAAGTGCTTTTGGACACGATTTTCCTTGGTCTTCGTTTGGGGTTATGCCTGGCCTATGGAAGAAATGCATCTATTTTCATCAGCAAGAATATCATATCCATAGCTTTTCACTGGCGGCGTATTTGTAACATCCTCTGTTGCTTGGCTGACGATTCGAATGTAAGTCGCCAACAGGCCGAACCCAGTGAGCATTCGACGCCAGCAATGTCACGACCTGCCCTTCTACCGAATCCCACGAGAATTATTAATGTTCTTGGATTCAGCAGCCCTTCAGTATCTCCCCGTGAACCTACAGCTCCACCACCACCTTACAACCCTGCCACGAATTATGAAGTGTGAGATAGATGATGACATGGCAGTCGTTTTCAGCCTATTTTCATTCCATGCGATCGATTCGTTCTAAGTAATAGAGGGTGGCTCGACAAAGTTCTTAGTTGCAGATCATTCTATCATGTAAAGCTTTACAAATAGTGACAGTGTCTTGGTATGTAAACAAGTTCAGTTTGTAACTTATGTACATGTCTGATGACATTCACTTGTTTGCCTATATTCACTAGTGAAGGCCATTCACGTGGGGCTAAAGGTAACGCTTTAAAACCAGTTGATAAATTTTACTTATGAAGATTAGTGCTGCTGAAGTAGCCAACTTATCTACAGTTATAAAACTTAGTCATAACCTTCACACATTTCGGTGTGGTTCGTACACGGCACTTTCTGTAGACCTATTTTTTGTATACTTGTGCCGATTAAGTTTTTGTCATCTTAGCATATTTCCTAAAAACATTAACTCCGTACTCAGTGTTTCGAGGAGACAGAGAATAGAAAGGAGATGTCATATCTCCTAGAAACAAAGGTAGTAAGCATTCCAATTGCGGAAAACATCCTAGACAGCCTTAGTCTAAACGATTGACTCAGTTGATTAAGTTTAGAAAAATTGAATATTAGCAGTGGATACGATCTAGGAGAGGCACCCTTACTGGAGAAATAAACGCCCAACTTTACCTCAGGCCTTTCTTTTCTTGATCAAGCAAGGATTCAGTTTTACTTTAAATCCTCTCTTTGAACACCTCTAGATCCACCATCGATAGGTGCTAGAAATAGTGCTAAAAAGAGTCTATCGTAAAGAGAGTTAAGATAAAGCATCTATTGTGGTTTTTTCATGGAAATGTTATAAGTTGAGATAATAAAACTCAGTCAACTCAAAGTTGTAGAAGTAGGTTTTTGGACACTAACACTGCACACTTCTGGCTTGTTACTTGGTGAAAATGTAGCTGATCGTAAGCTTCACAAATGTAGTGAACTGGGATGATACGGATCAGGATCAACGATCACTCGGACCATGTGCATCAGAGGAACAGATAAATCCCTCTGGGGAAGGATTCATTGTTGCCTTTGAGGCACATTGATCTGACTGACCTTGGAACATTGATCCTGATCCAGATTGTTCCACAGGAACCAACCTCACGGTAACTACTGAAATTTCTTTAAAACGTGATGGAGCACAAAGAAGGAATGCAATGAAAACACACCTGACAATTAATGCACACTCCACCACCAATCATTGATCCGTTGACACTCATGCTGAGGCCCAGATCACTCACGGTTTGGTTGTACACGCAAGTGTCAGTGTGGTTATGGCAGTTGCAGGCTTGAATGATGAATGACAACAGGACAAAAATAAGCAAACACGCTCATTGAATTAAAGATGATTACTTACCCGAGTAAAGAAAATATGTTTGTTTCAGAAACAAATTAAGATATAATTTACAAAGAGAAAACTATCATTTTCTCAAACCTAATCATTTTACAAAATGGGGCTCCACGCCACTCAGGATAAAATGATTCAGTTTGCGTTCCATTGAAGGAGACTTATAAATAGAAAATTTTAAAAAGCATTATTCGTGAACAATCAATTAAACTCAGTTATTTTTTGCAAATGAATATATGAAAGATCATATATTTGAACTGTTCCATCCTAATGTTGCAAGACAGTAAGACTAAATACTATTTAAAAAATCAATTGTGATCCCTGCAGCTAGACTCTCCACCAGAACGTGAAACGATGCAAGATTTTCCTTGACTGTAGGTTTAAAGATAAGTGACAAAGGATGTCCAGGATGGACGCTCTATCGATCTGTATCTAACTTATTTATCTCTTCAGAGCTTATCCAGGCTTACTTACGTTCACAGCTCGCAGCAGGGTCATTAATCCACGGAGCGCCATTGCCTATCTTCCATGGAATTTGGTTATAAAGTGGACAGCACTGGTCACATTGAAGTCCACAAGTGTTCCCCTCACACTGACAAGTACGCAAGCCTGTTGTTTGGTTAAGCGGACAGTGTGTTCCATTTGCATGTCCTTTACAGTCACACCGACCGGTCACCTGTATCTCTCGCACTGTGTAGTGGTGCTATGAGATTGAAAAAAAAAAAATGGCAATCACGACACAAAAGTTTTAACCGTAACTCCGGGGATTTCTTTCAGGTTACCCGCTAAATCTATAGTAGTTGGCAAAGAAGGGTAAATGAAGTTCCTGAAGCTCCTAGCTGCGCAATGTGGCTCTCAGAGGTCGCGAGCCTTTTGGTCAGCACTAGAATCGGAACCTCTGAACAAAACCAAATGGTAAGTCAGCATTAATCACAGCGGTTGCTCTCTATAAATGTTCAGTAAGGATGCTTGCATGGATAGTTTAGTATTGCTCTCTATACACAGATAAATTTCACTGTCCTTGGTATATTGTGGCAATTTATGAGTCAATCCAAAAAGAACAACAGAACGGACTTGATGCCCAGCTAATCCTGGCAAATAGCAAGGCCTGACTTCTGTAGAAACGCGGTAGCGTGGCCTGCCGTTTCCGGTTACGACTGTTCAAACAGGTCTTGTTAATCAGCAAATTATTAAACAAATACGACTGCAACAAAACTGGAACATAGCCACAAAAATAAGGCAGATATATGTTCACTCACCCATAATTTTGACATCCTGTCAAATTTTCTAAATAATCCTGTGAAGGTGAATCTTACTCCGGTGGCGTTCATCCAGGCCTGGAAAACGTGCGACAGAGAAACTAAAATCACAAAAGCTGAAATAAACGCAAGGTATGCAGACAGAATAACCCGGTGAGATATCTCACTATGAAGTAAAGATCTAGCAAACTGTTGCTCAACCCAGTTAAGGGGTGGATTACCTGTAAACCAGGCGTGTAAGGATCCGGTGTGCCATCACCTCTCTGTTGATGATTAAGCTGGATAAATATCTAAACCAAAATAAGGGAATATTTCAGTGTTATGATATGTTCAACTTAGTTGCATCTCAGAACAGCTTGACTGTACACTTATTTCTTGTGGTGTTTACCTTCCATTTTATAAACACTGAAAGGAGGCTACCTTCCTCCACAAAATCTGAACTACAATAACAGCAGAAATGTGCTGCTCTTGCGAACCTTGCCTCACCGAGTTGTAACTCAAGAATGAATTGCCAAACCAAACTGTTCTTTACATTATATCAAATATAGGTGGTGAGACACATCTATGCTTGTCAATACATCTTGATGTATCTCTTATTTCTCATTACCGACATAAAAACACATGTAAAGGAATCTCTTCGGAGAATTTCATTTTATTTGGTTCTGAAGCCAACGTATTGTGCTGAATCAAGAAAGTATGAGGGGGAGAGAGTTTATCCCCCATATAAGGCTTATTCCAAAGTTATTTTTAGAACATCCACGTTTTCGAAAATCCCGGGAAGCTCTAGATGACGCAGTACTTGTCTGCTCACGTGCACAGCCCAAGCGACTTTATGTGCATTTTCATCCTCCATGGAAACTGATCCATGGAAGGCGCGTGGTATCATCATCCGCGGAAGAACTGAGTACCAGGCTAAAATTAACTTGACAGGAATTATCTTAGGGGTATGGCCGAAATGGGAAATTAATTATCTTACTCTTCATCTTCTTTCGGCTGAATCTGATAATAACTACTCTCCGTGCCTGTTACTTACTGTTTCATTGAATTCTAGAGGAACATATTTGGTGTACTCTGTACATAAGACTTGGTCCACGCGCGAGATCACGCTTTGAGCCTCTACACCAAACTGCCGAATGCATTGAATACTGGCACGCGGGGTTACCAAGTAGTGCCATGGGGTGAATGTGGCGCCAAAATCCGTCGATTTCTCCACCTTGATTTGTCCAGGTCTTCGATAGTTACCGAATGTAATACTGATGTCCTGAGCAAAGAAGGCCTTGAATGGAAAGAAAGAAAGAAAACCGTAGCCCATAATGAAAAGTTCAAGAACACGAGCCTGGAAAAAAAATGAAAACCTTGAGACATGCAGAGCTCCACGAATACCAGAGAAGTCAGGGGAAGCAATAGAACTCGAATTGTTAAAACAGACTGATTATCATGGGTAAGTAGTACACACGCATTGTTCGTTTTGTTGGTACCTGTATTATCAGTAGCAGATACAAAAGGCCCGTACCAACATGTACATGTACATACAAACATTGAACAAAACAGCTATAAACCGGCGGCATACAGGTCACTGGGTTAGGGTTACATAGCTTTACGCGACTGAGTAGCGATTTAAGGCTGATTTATGTCATTCAGAGATCAAATATAACTGAACAAACAAAAGACGATACTGGGCTCTTGGTTCTTCTACTTCCAAAACGTTCATGTACGTCAGTGTAACAAGACTTGTAACACACTGCAATACTAGCAGTCACTAAAACACAGCTGCTAACATTTATATAAAAAGCTCTTTTCACTGTGGAAGCAATTTAGCCATGATTTTGTGATAAAAAGGTAGCATCAACATATGTAAACTCGCGTTCAAACTCAGAAGCTTTCCTTCTATAAACAGTAATCAACACACGATTCGGCACTTAGAGATTTAATTTAATCCACTTCTATAACTAAAAGCACCGCTCTTGCTTTCATGGCTCATTTACACCAATAATGAGAATGTTTCCAAGTTCTTACAAAAGGTTTTAATGTCACGGAACCATGCAGTGAAAATTTATGCAAATTAGCCTTAAGCTAACTTAAGCTCATGACTATTTCAGGTACCTGTTCAAAGCTGATTGTAATAACAGCGAGGTCTTCTCCTTTTCTGGATTGCCAGTGTGTTTCAAGTAGCCCATCGACCATGTTCTCTGGAGGAAACGCTTTTTCTGGGTCGCTGGCATTACATGTGTACGGTACCCTGTCTTCAGGATCGAGAAGTCCTTGTTGTGTTTCATAGAAGTCCTCCGGAGGATTTCCACACGTAAAGTTTGCCTCTGTTCGCTTCAAATACACGGCGTTAAATCCCGACTCTACCACCTCAAAGGCAAAGACAAAGAAAACTGTAAAAAATAAAAGCTTCTGCAAGACGAAATCCATGCTAGTTTCGAATGCTGATGAAGAAAGAAAATCCGGCCGTCTTCTTCATTCCTACATTTAATTGTAGATGTTTTATTTACTTGTCTAATTAATATTTCATATCTTCTTTAGTAACAGACGCGTCACTTGTTGGGACGCGAGTCTCTTCTCTTGCGGTGCGGTAAGCCGCTGACTTGGCCAGAAATTAGATGGATTACGTATAGATTAGTCTCGCGTTCAAATTTTGCAACCGTCCCGTAATACTGATAACACAATTCAGAAAGACTGATCTACACTCTTTGCATTCCTAAGCACACCCTCCAGGAATGAGCTCAGAAATTTAGCCTGAACATCGATCAATAGCGCAGAACGCGAATCTGTGAAATTTATAACAAGAGACGAATAGAAACTTAAACATAAAAGGTTGAGGCAAATTAAACTATTCAACGTCTGCAGATCCGCGTAACAGCTGAAGAAGGGATACAAAACGCACCATGTAGTTGAATGGCTACACATGGACCGAGATGGAACTCTTGGCCAGGGACAGAGGGGATTGGAAACGATTCGTCAGTGGCCTATGCTCCGAAATGGAGTGAAAAGGCTTCAGATCAGATCAGAATGACTGGAGCGCGCTGATATATTATTTCTTTTAAAAAAAAAGAACTGCGATCGCGGACGTTCTTTGGTGGAGGCAGAAAATAACTGCGACCCTGACCCACTCTTGCAGTGTGCTCACAAGCTTAACAATATTTTGACCAACTGAAATGAATGTCTTTCATTGGCTCTTTCAACGTCGAATAACTGAACGGAGCTACATTAGCTCTCAACCTTGGATAATATACATTTCTAGCTTTCTACTTGGCTCACTGAATCTTCGTTATCAGACGTTATTCTTAAGGACGGTGCCTACTAAATACAAAGGTTTTTGGGCCAGGCAAGGACCACGCGGAAAAAGAAGATCTTTGCAAGGCCTATTGGAATCCTTAAAGAAAGATTGTGGTAGCCACGCATTTTTTCAAGATAATTAGCCTTGAATCTCGACAAAAATACCGACGTCAGCATTTTCTGAAAAAAGAAGGAAAGGATATTTCTTCACAGATTTCCTTCGAATACGCCTTTGCAAACAGAAAAGCAAACACATTATAAAGATCTTAAAACTGCATGGTAATTGGTAACATAAAAACCATTTTTGGTATGTCTTTTGTAACAAAATCGTTGCAATAGCGCTTTTAGCGTCTCTGACAGCCTTCCTCTGGTACCTTTTGCTCACAACCAGAAACTAATCAGGTGTTGAATAGGCTTGCCACTTCCATTTCATAACATAAAATGTGGGGGTAACCACGCGTTTTTTAAAGTTATTGATCTTTTTTGAAAACTTTTACG